CGCACGCACGCACGCACGCACGCCTACACACTGACACCACCCAAGCACACACACACACACACACCCACTCACGCACTGATTTGTGTTGCTGACTTGGAGGTAAGGAGGCTCCCATGTTAGACAACAAAAAGCAGGGTTCAAATCCAAGCCACCAAATGCTGATTTGGATTGGTGGTTTGGAGGCTGGGGGGCGTCCCCATTCACCGTCGACAAGAACCAGGGGTTCAAATCCCCAAACCACCAATCCAAAACCACCAAATTTGGACACGTTTTCCCAAATTTTGGTTTGGTAGTAAAAGCTTTGTCTTTTGCAGCCTCCCACGAACAATGCACAGAACCAAACAACTAAAATGCTAAAACACATCCCCATTTCTGTAGACAGAAAGGTTGCAAAACCTGCTGGTGCCTTTTCGTCGGTCAGGCGAAGGCTTGGCTTGCCTCCTCCACCGAGGACACCGACTTAGCGGGGAGCTGGGACTTGTGACCACGCCAGGTGCAAAGCCCAAGTGCAGGCGAGAAGCCGCAAGCTGCAGCGCTTCCTGTACAAAACACGGGAGAGAAAAAAAAAGAAGGAGAAAAGCAATGGCTGGGCCGGTCGCACGAACTTTTTGATGATGATGACGATGACGATAACGACGATGATAATGATCGTGATGATGATGATGATGATGATGACGTTGACGTTGACGATGATGATGACGATGATGAAGATGATGATGATGGTGCTGACGATGATAACGATGACGATGATGATGCGGATGATGATGATGATTATGATGAGGATGATGATTATGATGAGGATGATGATTATGACGATGACGATGACGATTACAATGATGATGACATGACGATGACGATGACAATGACGATGACGATGAGGATGAGGATGAGGATGACGATGATGACAAAGACGATGACGATAATGATCGTGATGATGATGATGCTGAACAAAAAAAACGATGACGATGACGATGATGCTGACGAGGATGAGGATGAGGATGACGATAACGATGATGATGATGATGATGATGAAGATGATGATGACGATGCTGATGCTGATGCTGATGACGATGACGATGATGACGAGGATGACGATGACGGTGATGATAATGATCATGATGATCATGATGATGATGACGATGACGAGGACGACGGTGATGATGATGATAATGCTGATGACGATGACGCTGATGACATGACGATGACGATGACGATGACGATGACGATGAGGATGAGGATGAGGATGACGATGATGATGATGACGATCACGATAATGGCGATAATGACAAAGACGATGATGATAATGATCGTGATAATGATGAGGATGAGGATGACGATGACGAGGATGACGATAACGATGACGATGATGATGATGATGATGATGCTGATGCTGATGATGATGACGATGATGACGATGACGATGACGGTGATGATAATGATCATGATGATGATGATGATGAGGATGACGATGACGAGGACGACGATGATGATGATGATAATGCTGATGACGATGACGATAATGACGATGACGAGGACGACGATGATGATAACGATGATGATGATGATGATGATTATGATGATGACGACGACGACGATGATAACAATGATGATGATGATGACGATGATGATGACGATGAAGATGATGATGAGGATTCCAACGAGCCATAAGGATGTCGAGGATGATAAGGATACTGATGAATATGACGAAAACGATGGGATGATGAGGATGATCCGGTGGCGGTTGCGGTGGCAGTGGGGGCGGGGGAGGCGGCCAACATGATGAGGACAAATCCCCGCAAGCCCAGATTGAATCAGTACAGGTGAATGTGTTCTGTTTACATATCCTGACAAGGGTCTCATGATGATTCCAGCGGAAATTGATGCACAATTCAAGAAATTTGGAAAACTGAAGCAAGAACTGAAAGCCAAGGCAAGTATCTCAAGGAAGAAGAATGTGGCGGGTCTCGACCGCCTTGAGAAGACGGTACTCACGCAGAAAACCTTACCAAGATCCCAAGGTTAAACCGTTCGTCAATTCGTCGGCGCTTTTGCAAGTATTAAACATGATAATCCGGAGAAACCGGAGGCAATCATGAGAAGGCACTGACAACACTGACAACGCAAATGCCATCAACCGCATTGACATCAACTTGTTGCATAGATTAGGGTTTGCACCCAATTTTCTATGGCCATGAAAGTGCAGTGTTTCACCCTTCTAAAAAGGGGAACATGCCCGTCCCACAAAGAAACACGCGCATGACTGACATGCTTGCTTTCCTTTGCGGGGTCAACTTTGAAAGGGAGTTCTGAGACACCTCAACTAGTACTGCTGGGATCCGTAGCAAGCAACCAAGCCAGCAAGCCAGCCAGCCAGCCAGCCAGCCAGCAAGCAAGCAAGCAAGCAAGCAGCCAACCAACCAACCCACCCCACCCCACCCCACCCCACACCCCACCCCAACCCACCCCACCCAAACCCACCCCAACCAAACCCAACCCATTAAAACCCAACCCAACCAAACCCAACGCAATTTTGTCTCGAAAAGCTCCCTGGTGCCCTGCCATCCGCCCCGCTTTTCAGCCGCCCGCCGCCCGCATGGCGGGCGGCGATGACGGCGGCCCCCGCCTGCCCCAGCTGCCAGGACTCCACCAGCAGCTCGCGGCCGAGCTCGCAGGCGCCTGGCATGTAGCGCCTGGATCGATTGGCATCGGGGAGGTGCGGTAGGAGAGGGCTGGGGGGGATGGGTGGGGGAGGGAATGGGTGGAGGGAAGGTGGGGTGGGGGTGGATTGGTGGGGGAGGGGATGGGTGGGGGAGGTGAGGAGGGCAAGGTGAATCTCAACATCCGTCGCTATTAAATGGTCCAAGCCCAGAACTATGCTCCAAGAATTCCAAAGGCGGGTACACCCATTTATGGCTGGGAGCCCTTACCAACCTTCATCTACCCGAGTTTTGACTGCGGCTAGGGGAGGGGTGTGGTTGTTTGATGCGCTCGCTAACCAAAGGACCTACAAAAAAGGTGGGGGCAAGAAACAGTTGCTTGATGCGTTTGTGCTGCTTTGATTTTTGTTTTGTTAGGCGGTATGAAGTGGCGCACTGTTCCTCGGACAGTATTAAGACCTAGCTGGACTCCATCAAAATCGCTCAAGTCGTCCCGTGGAAACATCATAATCGTCCGGTGACTTTGTTTTGTTTGCTTGGAATAATAATTGAATTGATTTTGTATGTTGTTCCGTTGCTTGTTGTCTGTTTTGGTGATTTCTCTTTTGCTGCTTGTCCTTTCTGGTATGTGTGCCGTGGTTTGGGGGACAAGGGGCTGTTCAGGGAGCTCTTGTACTGCTTGTCTTTTCACTGGATCCTATGCCCAGCCAGCAATACTTGCATCCTACAGTGACCATGTGAGCGTTGGTTTTAAGGGAAACCAAATGGAAGCCAGCAATTTGGGGGACTTTACAGCTCTGGGCAAATGGGAGTTTCCGGCAGTCTGGAAAACCTCCCCATTGCCATGCCCCTCGTGGTTTGCTTTGAGGCCACGAAGCTTTGGGCCGCTTCTTGGCAAAATTGGTCTAACAGTTTGCCGGCCAACCTCGTTTACCCTACCAGTGTAGGATATTGGCTCCTGCGCATGTTTTGCAGGGATCCTTACATTATACACCTGAACATTGTCTTGTAAATGGTGGGTTCCTTGTATTTTGGTGTTGAAAAAGCAACATGTTTCAAATGGTTGCAAAACAAATTTCTTTCAAGGAGCCCGGTTTTGGCATGTTACCCAAGCCATGGCTTTAGGGAACCAGCGCATAGCTGGCGGGGCCCAGCCCATGGTCTTTGCTGCTAACCCGTCGGTTGGGCCATTGGATTCTACCCAAGTTTATAGTAAAGCATCAAGAGGGCAACCAGGTTGAGATCGCTGGAGTTGGGATCTGAACCCTTTACACAAGAGTAAGCCGGGTTTTGATTGCACGTGGCAATCAACGTCCTCTTAGCTACAACCGGGGCAACTGGAGGTACTTGGCTTCCAACCATTGCACGCCAAGATGCAAAGAAGCATGGGCCACTGCCATAACACCCCAGATGTCGCATGTGAACTGAACAAGTAAGTGGGGTTCAACATGTAGCATTGTCCGTTGCACAAAGGACTTGGAAACAAAACGTTCACCTGCAAACCGAGGCCAAAAGGTCGGAGGACGCATCGCCCTCGACTCGACTCGCCTGGCGTCCTTGGGGCTCTTGATGCCGTGGTGCATCACCGGCCCAAGGCGCGAGCCATGCCTGCGCTTCCGAAGCCGATGGGAGAAGGCCAAAGGCGACTGGGCGCCTTTTTTTGAGGAACCCCCGGAATGGTGGGCTTTCCTCTTGGTTTCGCCCTTAAAACCAACAAGAAAGGGGAGCCCTCAAAAAAGACAGACCCAACTGGGTGTCATTTTCATGCAGGCCCACACAGAAAAAGGTAGAGAACGGCTGGAAACCTGGATGGAAAGCCCGCCAACCGAACGGGTGCTCCGCCGCGAAGCGAACCGGTCCATCAGGTAAGTTAGATTGAATCGGATGGACCCGAAGCCACCCCCCGTTGAACGTCAGCTGATTATCCCGCCAGTCTGGCTGCCACCAGCTGCCACCAGATCCCCAAATCCCCTCGGCCCTGGCGGTGGGCGGGTCGACGAAATGCCCCTTTGGCCTGTTGAGGTAGACCCCGTCGTCCACAAAGAAGCTCATGCGCGGCCAAATGGCCAGCACGCACTTTCCTGAGACTCAAGTCCGCCAAATCGGGAACAGCTCGCTTAGGTCCACAAACTGTGTCCCAGCCAACAACCAACCAACCAACCAAACCCACACCCAAACGCATCGAACAAACAAATCACGCAAGCAAGCAAACAAACGACAAATCAAGTCAGCGAGCCAGCCAACCAACAAATCAACTAACCAACTACCAACAACTGCACAGCAACCAAGCTTCCAGAAAACAATGATCAAGGTGTCATAACCTCTGGCATTACAACAAATCTGGCCCCGTTAAGATCATGATCCCCGCAAATCCATTCACGATTCAACCGGCCAAGTGTCGGCAGTTGTGCTCCTGCCCCAGCCGTGTGCGGTCCATGAGCCATTTCCGCGGCGGGCCCAAAGCCCGCTTCGCCTCCTGCAAGCCAGTTTTTTCCTTTTGGAGTCTAGTTTCAATCGCAAAATGGTTTGTACCCTCAAAAGAACGTCTAGGTCCGCCAGTAGAGAGGTTAGAACAAGGGTACCGTTTGTTCTGTAGTCTATTTTAGGGTAAAAGGGCACCACTGGGCGACCTAGACGTACACCCTTCTAGCAGTGGATTTACTTGACCAGACTTAGACTCCCTGCAAGAAGACTGGCCACGATTCAAGACTAGGCCTTCTTCACGGCAGTCATTCCCTCGTTCAGTGTGTTGGACAAGCCCTGCAAAAGCTTGGCTGTGTGTTGCTGGATGTTGCTGGTAAGGGAAAATCATGGAGTTCTCAAATGCAACAAGGAAAAGCGAGCTACAAGTCGTCTGGCAATGTGTCGATCATCCTTGAAAGTTTCGGAGAAACCTTGAACAACGGACCTTTGGTCAGCTCCCATTGATCTGGATTGGTAGTAGGTCTTGAATGCGGACGAGTTAGGTCAAGCCGTGGGGTCACTCAGGGAAATTTCAATCCAAACCACCAAGTAGTCACTTCCCTGGCCGAAGAAACTCCCTGGTTAACCCTTGTCACCTCTGGTTGACCCTGTTGACACCCTTGAAATGTTGGCTCTGGAATCCGGAAACTTGAGCACTGAGCAAAGAAGGAAAATGGCGCAGCCCTCCGACAACAAGGAACACTGGCATGTTTTACCAAAGGCCCTCACGAACAGCCTGCCAGCCTACTAGGCCCCGCTTTGTCCCCTTAAAATGTCACCCCCTAAACTCACCTGAAATGATGTTGACCAGCTGATGGTGGGTTCCTAATCCCTAACTCACTTGCCCAAAGGACCTGGACCTAAAAGGTTAACCTGTTGGGGCCATGACTAAATATGGACCAAAATTGGAAAACCAAAAGGTCAAAAGGTCGGCTTTGCACAACTGAGCTAATGGTCAGAGCGAAACCACCAAGCAAACGGGACCAGCACAGCCTCGCTCAAACTTCGGGACCTCCTCAAGTGGTTGGTTCCAACTCTTAAAGTTCATAGCCAGAAACACATCTACTGTACTACTCTCCCGTCATACCTCTATATACTCTGCAATATACGAAGTATACCGTATGTATATGTAGTATAGCATATATATATATATATATCATCTGCAATACACTATATTCTATATATACATACATATATATATATATATATATTGTATATATTAATCTAGGGACGCCGCCTACCCATCTCCTCAACGAAGCGGAAGTAGGGCTCCAGGTCCGCCACCGGCGCCGTGAGGTTCGCGTAGAGCTCCGCCACCCGCTGCCGGGCCTTCACCTCGAAAGCCGAAAGATCCGAAAGCCGAAAGCGGAGGGATCCGCGATGTATGAGTTGTAGTAGTTTCAGGCGACTTCCAAAAAAAAGAGGAAAAACAAATAAACCTATATTTATGAGAAGCAGGTTGAAGACGAGAACTACCTGGAAGTAAGTCATGAGCATGGTACAATCATGTTTTAATAACTATTCAGCCTCTTGTGTCAATCAGCTTCCCAGTTCTTGGTGAGTAGTTTTGGTGGCCTGCAGGTTGGGAGCTTAATTGATGATTTGTTTTGGTGGCTTGCAGGTTGGGAGCTTGTTTCCCTAACCCCCTGATTCTTTCTTTGCCATTCGTCGGGCCCGCCGCACTGAAGCAAAGCCACAACTAAGGGTGACCATACCCCCCCCCCCCCCCAACCTCTGTATGTTCCTCAGATGCCCAGCGGATGTCAAAAAGGGCATCCTCCTTTTCCTCTTTTGGTTGGTTGAGTTCAAAGGGGGCGCCCAAAACCCACCCCCACAAGTGCAGAAAAAAGGGGGGTAATTAATCCACTGGAGGCCACTGCGCTTCTCAGGAGGCACCCATCCCCTCCCCCCCCCCTCCCCCGCCCACCTCCCTCCCCCACCTCCTCCCCTCCTCTCCGCCCCCACCCCTCCCCCACCCCCCGCGTTGCCTCCAGCGTCTCCACCAGCGCCACGTGCAGCGCTCCTTCGTCCGCGCTGCTGAAGCCACCCGGCTGCGACCAGCGCCGCGCCGCCTCAGACGCGGGCCCTTGGCGGCGGCCTGGATCCCAGCTTCTGGGAGCCGCTGCGGTTTTTGGTGGATCCGCCCCTGGCCATTTAAACAATAAAGCACCAAGAGAGCACCAAAAACGAAGCTAGAGGGGGAAGAACAGGTGAAACCCACCCGAGCGCATCCAAACCGGTTTCTAGAAAGCTCGCCCAAGTTGCTAATGATATGACTTACTTCCCTTGCAAGGGGGAAGATGTGTGAAAACATGAGTGCCATGTCACCTAAGTTTTCTGCGGCGGCCACTATGGTGCTAACCACTATAGTGCAGAAGTGGCATGGCAACACGACTGCTGCTGCAAAAGGAAGCAACTTGGCAGAGGGGGAGGGGGGGAGTTGCGGCATCAGCAAAAAAGTCGCGGAGAGTGGCTCGACAGGCATCGGCCAGGCCCTGCAAACTCGCCATGAAACCAGGGCATGCCCCCATTCCAGAGATTCCTTAAAACATTGATGGGATGTTTATCGTTGTTGTGTTTCTCCCGCCGCGCCCCATGTCGATATGCAGGAGTCTCCATGACCCTTAAAAAATGGTTGGTCATTACCTGAAAGAAAGGGTTCATTACTCCCTGCTTAAAGGGTAAGGGATCCCCAAGCAAAGGACCCTCATCACGGTGAGCTCGTTCTAGCCCCGAATCGGTGAGCTCGCCAAAAAGGATCGGCAGAATAAGTGCAAACCAGGCGCCCAATTCTGGAGGAACTTCCGAACCCATGGCTTGTTCTTGGCGATGTAGTTGCCTCAGATCAGCTTGTCGGCGGAAAACAAAAGAGAAAGGAAATTCAAAAGGAAAGCCAGCCTCATTTTGTGGTTGTTTTCTTCTTCTCTGTTTTTTGGGGGCAAATCCCTGTGGATGGAGGAAATTCTGCACCAGTTAGCATGGATGAACCCCTAACCACCCACCAACTGGTGCAGTTCTGTGTCCATCCGCAGGTTTTTGCCACCACCCCAACCACCCGCTCTCGCGCCAAATTGGAAGACGCCGGGCTTGAGGACTTGAGGCTCGGGCCGGCCATGATCTCCTCGCCGGCGATTCCTGACGGCTTCCCTACGTGTTGTCTCTTTCCTGAGGCTCTCATGTCCCCCCCTTTCCCTGTGGTCAAGGGGTGCCAGAAGGAAACCAACAGTGTCGGGAGTCCCCTGATTAAAAAAAAGAGACACACACACCCATGTCCGCCCGTTTCTCTTTTTCGCAAACGGCCTCCCCCATGAATTTTCAGGTTCTTTGTTGATTGGACTGCAAGGGAAAGTTGAAACCCAGGGAACGCGATCGTCTGCCAACTTGGGCATCTGCTTGTTGGTCAAAAAGGCATTGGTTTGGTCAAACGCTATTTGCTTGTGGGCTCAGATGCCCAGTGGCCATAGGAAAAAGGGGCACCTGTCTTTGTTGGTTGAGTTTAAAGGGGAACCAATACCAAAAAAACGAGAAACGGGGGGGAAAAAAAAAAAACAGAGTGGAGGTTCCACATGGTTCCACCAACAGACATGGAGGACCCCGCAAGGCTCGCCAACGTCCGAGGCTCGCTCGTAGAACTGGAGGTCGCCCCCGCCCATCCAGGCGTCTAAGCCGCGATCCATCACTACGGGCATGACGTCGGCGTCAAGCACCGCCAGGGCGTACCTCAGCCGCGTCGCTCGCTCTGCCCCAACTTTGGGACCCACCAAAGTTGGCGACGATCACATTTCTGGGGCCACGTTAAACCCCCGGCAAAAAGAAAAAAAAGGCGGCAGTCAAGAGGGCAGAAAGGGGCACTCTGGCGACTCTTGTTGTTGCTAGTTGGGTGTAAAGGGAAGCCCAGCCAAAAATTAAGCCCAGCTACGCCCCACAGCGCCTTTCGGAATATCCTGAACCCTCCTTTTGAACCCTCCCTGAAAGCTGCCCACCCCGAAGGAGCCGATTTCTGGGCCCATGGACTCTATGGCTTGCGGCTGTTGGGACGTGACATTTTGGGGGGGCATGACTTCAACTGGACCCAACAAGGGGAATATGAAAAAGCTCACGAGGTCGACTCAAGGGATCTTTGGGCAGAGGTGCGCGAAACAAGGCAATGTCCACCTTGGATGAACGACTTCCATTTGCGCATACGTCCCCTGAAAACAGTAATATAGATACATACATATATATATATATATATAAACTACCAGCAGTGATAGATTCCCTTAAAAACCAGCAGGGGAGTTGTTTTAAACAGAAACATCTTAAGCAAATGGAAGACGAGGCCCGGACCCCAAACCGACACAACCGGCTGCAACTCTCATCGAGGGTCTCCGGCGCTTGTTGCTCCAGAAGCCCCGCAGCGGCGCAGTGCTTCAGGAAGAAGAAGTCGGCAGGCGCAAAAAGCCTGATGTTGACCCAGGATCTAAGTAGAACCCGATGAATCCCCAATAAAAGGGCACAACCCTTATTGATCAACCAGGGGTTTATGAATCCGGGGTTAACATTAAGCCAAAAGGGGTCACCAACTTTCCTTGAAAACGCCCGAAATTTCCACGGGGGTGTCATGGTTTTGGAACCCCCCAAAAAAATAATAAAACAAAAAATGAATAAATTGCCAAACAGTTTTCCGTTTGATTTCCCAAAAGGCTTGGCCGAAATTCCTTGACAACGGCCTGGTGCCCTTGAACAAAAAAACACACATCCAAAAAATGGCCAAGAGGTTTTCCGCTTGGCTTCCCTCGAAAAACTCTCAACAAAAAACATGCCCAAACCAACAGTTGGTTGTTCAAAGGCCCGAACCCTAGGTCCGCGAGAATGGTGCTGTTGCTTATGATTTGTTTGGGGTTCCCTTGCTCAGGCGCTGAGATTGGGGATTCGGGGAAGGGGCTTCACTGAGTATGGCTGGGCCCCAGCAAGAATGAAGTAAGCCCCCTATGTGATTCTTGACCCTTTTCTCGCCCACACCTGAAGATACATCGGGCACCAAACTTGGACCACGCGGGCACCAAACTTGGACCAGAATGAATGCAACTTGGCGAACTTCAGTCGTCAGAAATCCTTCATTTGCCTAAGCCCCTGGAGGAAAAAACACGTACTTCCAGTATAGATTCCCTCCATAACCAACAGGAGAAAATAAGCAATATGTTTAAGCAAATGGAAGCTACAGTAGTCACCAAAGGTCGGGCTATGGCCGCGAGCACGTGCTCCCACACGGAGAAGGAAAAACAATCGGGCGCAGAATGAAAGAGGTCGACTTGATGGCAACCCGGACCTTGGCTGCTTTGGTACAGGTCTTCAATTTTAGGGACCCCTCCCAGCCCCAAAAAGAAAAACGAAAGACAGTTCATGTCCGTTTATGGCTTCCCTTTAAAAATATGGCTTCCCGTTAAACACACAACCCTCCAAAAAGACAGGCCCCCTTGGCACGGTCGAGCTGCCGCTCGCAGGCCGGGAACTCCGTGCCGCGCAGGAGCCAAAGGTCGTAACCTGCGGCTGATAGCGACGGAACCAGAAGTCCAAATGCGGTCGCAATCTACCAAACCCGCCAAATGCGGTAACCCACCAGACTAGGCAACCCACCAAATGCGGTAGCAAGTCCAAACCCGGGCTTTGATTGTGGAGTAGGGGGAGGGGTTGGGGGAGTGGGGGAGGGAGGGAAGGCGAGTCAATATCAAAAAAGTCCAAATGAGTCCAACAACGAGACCTATATCGGCATTTGCTCACCCCCAGACTCCCTTAAGGGGAAACAAAACTTTTTTGGTGAACCAACACAGGAACCGCACTTCTTGTTTACCACTCGAGTGGCAGCCAAACCGAAAAAGGGACTAAAGTCCAAGAACTCAGGAAGTGAAGAATGTCGAAATGAGTCATAATCAAAACCGACCGGTCAAGAATTAACAAGGCGGAAGTCTGCGCCCGTTCATGGTTGGGAATGCCCCTAATCTTCATCTACGCAGGCTTTGATTGTGGCCCAGCCGGGGATGCCTAGGGGTTACCTTTGAAGCTCTCAGCTACATTTCTTATAGTTGGTACAAGGGTGACAAGCACTTGGTTGCCCAATATACTGGTAACTGGAATCACTGGGGTCAGGTTTCCACTCTTTGACTGCCCCAAGATACACTCAAACCCAGGGCTTTCTCTTTGGTGGGAATGAGAGCCACCCCTGGGGTTAAGTCCACCCTGAGATAGTCAAAAAGTCGAACCCTGACTGGGGTAGTCTAGAAGATTTAAGGGTCCCGTTATTTTCAAGAATTACTGCCCGTTGATGGGCAGAAAAATGCACTGCTCCCAACCATGCACGAACCCAGTGGTTACTTGTCGATCAGATAAGGACATGTCAAAGGACATGTCAGCCAGAACTAGACAACATTTCATGTTCCATTTGCCTGCCAAGAGAAATCATGGGAGTGGGTGTGGATACCTGAATGCTGACCTGGCTGTCCTTTCTCCCTGCTTCCAATGCTGGTAGGGAACCAAAATCCTGGTTGCCTGCAATGGTCTGCTGGGTGTGCTTGCGTCCAGGGAATCCGCAACCATACCACCGCAAGCAAGCAAGTCTGGCGGCAAAGATGAGTCACCACAAGCGGATTGCCATCATTCGGTCTTACTTTTGCAATCCAAAACCAGCAGCCTTAGCAGGAGCACATCTAACTCTGGCGCCGAACAGGGCCTAAGGTCAATTGTGGGACCCCCTTTAATGGATTCCACCCGTGGGCATGAGCTTGCGCATGACGAATGCATCAGCGAGCGCGCCTTGCTTCTGCGCGTAGCACCTCACGCTCTCGATCTGTTTTCGGTATCTCCTCAGCTCGTAGGTGACACCAACCCAAGCTCGGGCAGCCGGCGCAGGGTGAGGCCTGCTCTTAGATGCTGGAAGCTGGTCTTGAAATCTCCTCATTTGGCTGTGGCTCACAAAAAAAGTACCAAAATGGCACCTTGGCACATGGAAACAAAGACTAACACCTGCGGTTTGCCCCATAGCCCTAGCTCTTTAATTTTGAGCCACAGCCATTTCATTTTCTCCTTGAAGTCCATGAAATCTCGGTACTCCGCAACTTTTATGCGTCACAGCATATCCGGGGACCCTCAAAGATGATCCAATGCTTGCCGTGTCCAGTCGGTTGCCCTCCAGGTCAACATTCAAACATGTGGCCGTGGGTCAAAAATGGGTACCCAAAATGGAACCCTGGTAAATAGAAACATGGACTGACACCAGTGGTCCCCCTGGTAGGCTCCTTTTGACCCACAGCCATGTGGTGGCCGCTTTCTTTTTTTTGGGGCGGGGGGTGAGTCACCGGACCCGGAGCCCGAGCGATGCCCAGGTTCCGTTCGAAGTGAAGGTCCGCAAGGACCGCGACGCCTGCGTGACGCGCGCCTGCCAGGCTGCAAGGTTTTGGGTAAAAGGGACCCTGGAAGTGTAGCAAACATCTGACAGGGGGATCCCTGCTTCTGCTCCTCAAAAAAATAATCGAATGGGGTGTCAAAATAGGGGGCCCCAGAACTGGCGGCTTTTCTTGTGGCTAGCTGTCCTCTTAGGGCAAATAGATGGCCCTGACCAGGTAAACCAGGAATCAAAACCCATCGATTTTTCGACCAGAACAACCAAAAAGCACACCTCCCAACAACACCATCAGCCCAACGCAAGAAAGAGGCGAGGCGAGGTGGTGCCTCGCACCTCCGGCGCCACCGAGGCTTGGAGCAAAGCCCCGGCTTTGCCCGTGGGGCTCACCTCCGCGCGGATCAGCCGCGGAGGGTCCTGGGCGGGGGGCGCCCCGACGGCCTCATGTTTGAGGCCTCGGGTTCCTGTGGATGGACGAAATCCATTTCGCCCACTTTGAAACCATCGGAAACCACTGTCGGTTGGTATTTGCACGGGAATCAGCAGGCCAGGGTTTCGTAGCATGGTGCAGGATTTCATCCATCCACAGTAGGAACCCGCAGGAGGACATGGAAATGCGAGGGTCCTAGAGCCGAATGGAAGAATTTGGCCCTTGATGTTGCAGGGAAACGGAAGGCAAATGGACAAGGACACTACAGGAACACCAAAGAGAAGCCGAAGGGAAGCCAAAGCACCTGAACATCAGCGGTGAAGCTGTTGGACGCAAGGAGGATTCCAAAAGTGTACAGAGAGCCTCAAAAGAGTACCAAACAAGGACGTCTGGCTTTCCCAAAACGGACATCGGAAAATTAGTGAGCCTCTCTCTGGTTTTTGAATATGCTAGTCGCGCACGTCCTCAACACCGAACTGAGCGTAATCTATTGAATACCTTGACCGATGCTAAGGTGCAAGCTATTCGCACCCTCCTCACAACAAACATGGAACTTTGGGACGTGGAGCTCTTGCCGCTTGCTGAATCCTCCCGCGCCAGAGCTTCTCTTCTGGGTCTAAAAATTGCCTGAGCAAAGCTGCGGAAGAAAAGGGCTCGCCCCCAAAATCCCCCAAAGGCACTTTGGAGAACCACTTAAACTGAAACTGCTTGAAGCTAAGCCCAGAAGCTAAGCCTAGAAGCTAACCGCCAGAGCTTCTGGGGGTGGTTGATGGCAGAAGGGGGCCACTGGGCTGGGCCCAGACGCGACCGATCGGGTCCTTCAACGCATGAAGAACTGCGACCTGGACCAGCAGCAGCCAGCGCATCCCATTTGCACAGGACGATTTGACTGCGCGTCGCAACTCCCGGCCGTTGACACGCTGGGATTTGACCATTGCGAGTCCACAAACGGGCTGTGTGACCGTGTTGCTCGCGCTGTTTGTAAAAAAAAGAAGAAAAATGCAAACTGGGAAACAGAGATGCGCCAAAGCTCTGCTTTCCTTTGCACGACTTTGGACCTCGCCTGAACTGCCCCGGGAGGAGTGGCCTGAGATAAGAAGCTTGCGCCACACAGACAAGGTGCCAACATGCTTGCGACGTGCTCCGGACCTTGTGTGGGGCACATACGCTCTGAGAGGGTACCATCGTCAACCAGGTTCAGGTCATTGGACGTGCATCGGATTTGTCTGAAGATGTCTGAAGGAAGGGACTCGCAAGTGAAGAATCTGCATGGTCCACAATTGCGCAAAGACTCAAGCGACTTCCCGCATGGTTACCCAGTTGCCCTGTGACAATATAGTGACCAGGGAATCAAACCAAAAAGGACTCATTGGCACTGAACGACACCGATTGCTTTGGTGACCCACCAGCACCCCCCAACCACTGCTCTTTGGACTGGACTCGGGATTTTGGACATGGGGAAAAGCAGTAAGAGGGGTTGCTGGCATTTCTTGGTTGCTGTTGACCGCAAAAAGCTTATCTTTTTTTTGGTCCAATGAAACATCCGACCTGTGTCAACCAGAGAGGTAAAAATCCTTTTAGATCCGTTACCAAATGGCCATAAAGAATTCCGAACTGCGGACCGTCCCTATACTGGTAAAGGTTTAACCTTGAGTGGCTTGAATAAAAAACTAGCACTAAACCAAAAACCAAAAAGGTCTAAAAGGCAAAGTTGAACCGGGCGATTCGCTGGGAGCCACCGACCCATAACCACCCCCCCCCGCCCCCGCTTCCCCCATCCACTCGCCGCTTCCCCGCGACGCTCTTCGCTTTTGACCGCCGGGCCAAAGTCGCGAGGATGCCGCGGGCCTCGAAGATCTCCGCCTCCCGGCGCCCGAGCTCGTCCTGGAGAAGCGCCGACCCCTCCCAAAAAAGCAAACCGTGGAAAGCTTAAGTGCAAGGCAATTGTTGAAAAGGGTATACATTTGCTTTTGGTGGAGAAACCAACCTGATTGCTTGATTGATTGTTTTCTGTTTTTATTTTTCTGGGGGGGAGGGGGCAACCTGTTATTTATTCATACATGTATATATATATATATGTATGTGTATATATACGTTTAGTGTTATTGTTACTACTAATATTATGGTTATTTTCATTATGAATACTATTGTTATTCTTAGTAAGATTAAAAATGTTATCATTATCTCTCTCTCTCCCTCCCTATATAGGTGTATATGTATCTCTCTCTCTCTCTTCTTTGAGGGGGGGGAACCAACCCGTTTTTCTTGTTTTTCTTTTGCTGGGGGAGGGTTCTCCCAAACCAACCTGGAAAACGGGGCGTCCTCAAATGACTCCAAGAAGCACCACCCATCTGGGTGTTTCTCAAACATCACGGTCCCCATGCTCAGCTTCGGTTGCTCCGACCGGCGCCTTGAGCTCGTCGATGACGTCGTTCTTCGACGCCAAGGCGCGGCGGAACTGGTCTTCCAGCAAGCTGAGCCGAGCGAACTCGTCCGCGGCGTGGGACATCCTCGGCTCGGCGCTTTGGGAAGCCCCAGAAAAAGAAGAAGAAACAAACAAACAGGAAGAAGAAGAAGAAGAAGAAGAAGAAAAAAAGAAGAAGAAGAAGAGGACAACCTGTTAAAGTTGGGTGGGTCAGATCCGACAAGTGAGTTCTTCCTTTCCATGCCATGACCCCAAATGAATATGAACGAAACCCCCAGAAATCCGAATCCCGTTCCAAGCCAAACCACCAAACAAGCTTTGCCGGATCGTTCAATTCTTGCTGGTGCTCAGTAGGGAATGTGGGAATGAAAAGATAAGAAAAGGAAACCACAAGTTGGATGGTTTAGCTGCATTCCATGTCTCATTCCCTGCATCTCTCGCAAGCTTGAACAAAAATTGCACACCATGCCGCCAGGCAACAGCCTGGACTCCAGGTCGCAGAGCCTCAGACTTTGGCCCTCTCTCGCCAGGTCCGTGTCGCTTAGCGCGCTGGGCGCGCTGGGCGCGCCTGCGCTTTCGGAGGTCCAGCGGATTTGAGGCGCGCTCGTTGGTCGTCCCTCTTGGGTTCCCTGGCAAAACCCAACCAAATGGTTCCCACACAAAAAAACAGACTCATGTGCAAGGTAAAGCCCTGGACACCGCAACTAGGCGCGGTTGTCTGGCCTTTTTTTGTTGGGTTCCTGGGAAAACCCGACCCAAATGGCCAGCAACAAACAAATAGACCCATGTGCAAGGTAAAGCCCTGGACACCGCAACTAGGCGCGGTTGTCTGGCCTTTTTTTGTTGGGTTCCTGGGAAACCCCGACCCAAATGGCCAGCAACAAACAAATAGACCCATGTGCAGGGTAAAGCCCTGGACGCCGCATCTTCACAATGTTCAAGATAAACTTGGCCAAAACCAGGGGTTCAACACCAACATCCAGCTGGGAAATGCCTTGGAGACGGCCCTTCTAAGTATAAGCTTCGGGTCATTCATGGTCATTCCCAAGAGTGAGCCCTGTACCCAACGATGTTGCCCTCCCCCGCCTGACTACCTTGACAAGTGATGAAACACATCATGCGGCTTGGATCAAGCATTACCAGCAGGCTGCCATGGATTCAAAGTTGAGTTACACCTTTTGACCGGTCCTGACGCCGGACCTAAGCAAACTCAAGCTACAACGCCCATTGAAACGCAGTCGTTAGCCTTGATTTGCACACCTCCAGTCTTACTACCCAAACACACTTGAGGCGTAGGAGGGGCTCCTCCATGCATGTCATTGAGGGGCACCCCACCTCCCAACCGAAATAAAGCGTGCTGGTGCTCAGCAGGGAATCAGAAATGGAATGAGCCCTATGAAATAATCCCTCGTAGTTGCCTTGAAGGGGACCAACGCCTGGGCTCATTCAACCACATTCCCTACCTACCAGAAAAGTGCGGCGCTCCATCCGCGGCCTTCCGACCTCGGCTCCGGCTCCGTTGGCTCCTTTGGCTCCATGGGCTCCATGGGCTCCATGGGCGGCATGGGCTCCGGGGGCTCCGGAGCCGGCCGCGCCTCGCACAACTCCTGGGGCTTGTGACCGGAATGTCGTGGCAGAAGCCAAGGAGTGTGTTCAGCTGGGTTTGCGTGCAGTGGGATGGGTGTGTGTGTGTGTGTGTGCAGCCGGAGCTGGAGGGGAAGGCAAGCTGGGTCTGTCAACGAACCCTGGGGGTCAGTGGTTTTATATCATTGGAAGGCTGTTGGGCTTAAGTTGTTTTGGGATACACACCAGTGGAGCTGGCTCCAACCCAACCCCTCGCAGACTCCTTCATCTCCGACACCTCCTCCGCCCGCTTCGCCTCAAAGGCGTTGGCCAGCTGAGGGAGGCCTAACTCCCACTGAAGGGGAAGCATCCACTGACTGGGGAGGTCATCACTCGTAGGGAACAGGAAAACCCCAAAAAACCGGCCGGTCCTCGTCACACCTCAGTTAGTACTGACATAACTTTCCTGGCTGGACATCCCTTTTGGTGCCATGTCTAACCTCAGTTTCCTTTTGATGTGACGTTCACAGGGGACGAATAGGACACCCCTGCGATTGATAAACCCCGGTCCAGGTTCATAGGATCCCCTCGCCACCTAGGCTAATGGAGGCTCACCCATATTGAGAAGCCACTGAGGGGGGCGAAACTCAGCTTCCAATCAATTGGTGCTGGTTTCCCATGTGCCCAGGATTCAAACCCCCATACCAGCCCAAACCACCAACCCCCACCTGATCACCTGGCCTTCCGCAACCAGGGAAAACCGCTTTTCTTTTTGGGTATATCCTTGGCACTTGGAAGCCCCGCGAGCGCGCAACGCAGACCTGGGCTGCGTGGATTTGGTCTCCCGACAGGCTGATGTATGCCAAACCTGACTAAGATTAAAGCGGTAGCATAGAGAAAAGAACAGACCAATGACATGCTAAGTACACTAAACTACTAAACTTGTCCAGACTGACTGACTGACTGACTGAGTGAGTGACTGACTGACTGACTCACTCACTCACTCACTGACTCACTGACTCACTGACTCACTGACTCACTGACTCACTGACTCACTGACTCACTGACTCACGGACTCACTGACTCACTGACTCACTGACTCACTGACTGACTGACTGACTGACTGACAAACAATCAAGCATACTGCAACCAAACAATCAATTAAACAAACAAACACATAAATCAATAAACAGACACACAGACAAAATGGACAGACAGACAGACGGACAGACAGACAGCCAAACAGAAAGACAAACAGACTGAGAAGTAAGCAAACAAACAGAGAAACAAACAGACTGGCACGCGGCAGGCACGCAAGCAGGCAAACAACTAAGTAAACACGCAAACACACCGTCAAACAAACAAACAAACAAACCAAACAAAACCAAGCCACTGAGCACAACTAAACACAACCACACAAAACAAAGCACAACAGCACAAAACCACAAACAAAGCAAAGCAAAGAAAAACGAGAAACCAAACCAACCCAAACAAAACAAAACAAACAACGGAAAACAAAGCACAACAGCACAAACAACAAAGCAAAGCAAACAAAACTACAAACCAACACCAGCAAAACAAAACAAAACAAAGCAAAGCAAGCAAGCAAGCAAGCAAACAACACACAACAAAAACACACAAACAACACCAAACCAACCAGACAAGACCCGGCAGTCTTCCACCAAGCCTCAGATCCCCTTCGATTTTTGGGGTTCCCGGACACGGATTCCGCTTGCCCCTCAAGAGGTGTATATATATATATATACACACCACTCATTTAAGAATTTGTAGGCAGCCATCTCTACTCTTGGTATGGTAGCAAAAAAACTGTGTTTGTTGCAGACCCCCAGTAAAAATGAACAGAACCAAACAACTAAAAAACAAAAAAACATGCCAAGAACAGTGAAGCAGCTCCTTGCTTCCACTAAGTGTGTGGCAAACCTCAACCAAAAACTTCAGCCAAACATCTGGATTACCGTTGACCCCTCAAGCAGTTGTTCACTGTTTTGTGGGCCCAACTCGGAAAATCCCAAAAGTGTCAACCAAAAGGTTAAAGAGTCCGAGTCCCAAAGATCCGTAACCAAACAGCTTCTAACAAATAAATTGCCACGGACACCAAACAGGGTGGTCCCCCAAACAAGCTGGACGGCCGGACAGTTTGGGGACCCTAACCTCACAGCTTTTTCAGGGCGCGACTGTCCAGCTTTGCACGCAGCTCCGCAGCCTGGTGACGCTCCCCCATCCCCCCTTACTTCAAGGGGCGATCGGGTACTTAGTAAGCGGGTAATAATCATGTCAATCACCCACTTACCATGGTTACAAATCTCCTAAGCTACAACCAGGCTTACTATAGCCTCACCAAGTACCCGATCGCCCCTTTCAGTGAAGCAGATCACCTCGTCCGTCAGAAACCCCATGAAACCCCCCGGGCTTTCTCGAAAAGGCTGTGACCAGGCCTGAGCGGGACGTCATTTAATGGAAACCGGGGTGGGGGTTGCGCGGGGTGGAATCATAGAATGACCCGCTACCCTGAGTACTGAGGATGGACTGGGTAAACTGCCCCAGCGATTCCATTTCCCCACAGTAACCATGGGAATGTGACCCTTTAAAAACCAAACGGCAAATGGCTGATTACCTCCAACACTGGAAACTGGGATTCACTGGGTGCAGGAAGAACATGAGATCCGGCACTTGTCTCCGTGCGCCGTCGGACCTGGAAAGCTCTCCGGGAAGCCAAAGGGGTGGACCGGATCCCCAAAGATCGCAGCAAACAGAGCTGACTGCTTCCAGTCTTTCAAGGGATTCTGCCAAAGCAAATTGCAGAAGGATAAGAAACATCTTGCACCTTACCAACATTTGCCAAACGAACACTTGACGCCAGCCTTGTTTTGTTTTTTTTCGAACAAAGCTCGTGCCCGATTTCTGAGAACAGGGGCGGGCCTCCTGTTCGGCCTGGGCGCGCCGCTGCGCCTGAGCAACTGTTCCCGCCCGCAGTCTTACCGCGGGTTGCGAGGCCCTAACAACTCACTCGGCACCACCGAAATCAGACACCAGGAAACACAAGTGAACAAATCAATCATGCCATAATCAAACCACCCTAACACCGGGCACCCTCTAAAACCCATGCTGAATCCAACCAAGACCTCAGGTTGGTGGAGGTCACCCGATTATTTTCGGTTGCAACATCCCATTTTCGTTGGTACCCTCAAAGAAACACGACTCATCGCCCACAGAACTCCTTCAACCCATGTCCTTTTGGGGAAATAGATGGCCGTGAATGGAATGAAACCCATCTCAACCAGTGGAATTTCTAATCGAACTAACCTAAGTCATACTCAAGACCCGGTACTAACATGGTCTACCCAAAGCCACGTAAAGAAGTAAGAAAACGGAATTCCGCACCTATTTCTGGCAAGGGGATTGTCCCTTACTCTCCCCTCGCTTGCCCGGGTTTTGAGCACGTGGCTCACCTAAAAAAGGGCAGCTATGCTCCCTGCCTCCTGGGCCGCTTCCACGGAGAGGCGGAAGTGCTCCCCCTCAAAGCGCGAGACGACCTCCGCCACCTCGAACTTGGGGTTGCCCGCCAAATAGAAACAGCCAAAACAGAAACCGAGGAAAACACATGGGTGTGTTGTTACAGGACCCGCGAAAGCGAGCGAAATGTGCGGTGGTCTCTTTGGATTCCCTTAAAAACCAACAAAAAAAGGGTTCCCCAAAAGAAAAAGGACACGCCCGTCCAGCCCTTGGAAGAGTAGCAACAACACGGTGTTTTTTTGGCAGCATGGCAAAACGAGTGGAAATAGCACTTCACAAATTGGGCTCCCAAAACTGAAACGCAACTCAGAAATAGCACTTCACAACTTGGACTCCCCAAACTGGAACCCCGCAAAGGCTGCTGGCCTGAGGAGATTCCATTGGTTCCACGGGGGAAAAGACGCAGTGCAAGGGAACCCCCCCCCCAACCAACTGCTTTTTCCCATGTCCAAACTCCAAACTGCGCAACAACTTGCTGGTGCGAGAGATGCAGGGAATGACCCCTACGAACCATCCCCCGTGGTTTCCTTGGAGGGAATCCAAGGGGGTTCATTCCATTCCCACATTCCCTTTCGGGTCCGGAATGCTAGCAGGACATTGAACCTACCCAAAACCCCGCCTGCTCCTCCCTCCGCAGCTCGAAGGAAGCCTTCACCTCGGGGCCGCTTTCCAGCCAGGAACCATGAAGGGAAAAGGAACCTGCTTTTGGGGGACCCCCCTGTTCTTGCCGGAGCGATAGGTAGGGAATGTGGGAATGGACCGCGGTATTCCCCTAAAGGAAACCACGAGGGATGGCTTGTAGGGGTCATTCCCTCATTCCCTGCCGAGGGCCAGCAAGCTGTTGGGGCTCCGTGTCAATTTGCAGAGACGACTGGGTGATAAATATTGGGGATGAACATGTCAAACAACATCCCAGGCAAAGGACCGCAATTTGGGCAAATCAGGTTTGAATCCCCCGGTCTGAAGTGGCCCGCGTGGATTTATTGGGGAAATCCCAGCATTGACTTCAGATATGACTGTGGCTGAAAGCATGGTACCCCAAAATGGCTCCTTGAACATGAAAACAACGACTAAAACCTGCGAAAGCGCAGAGGTTTAATTTTGAGCCACACCATAATAAGGTCCAAACTCGCCTCAAGAGTCCCGATTTGGGCACTGAATCCTGTGGGAAAAGACTGCAGCGCCCGCCAGATATTTTCCCCCTACGCAGAAAAAATAATGGGAAGGGTCCCTCTAGGTGGAAATGTCTTCTTATTTTTTCTTTTTTTCCGCTGTGGATACTCAAAGCCCATATTGTAGCACCAAACCCTTCAAACCTTCAAACAGCACTACCCTAAACAAGGCGTTGCCTGCGTGTCCATCGCACGCATACCCCCACCCTTCCATGGGCTCCAAGACTGCATCTGACTGTTTGGCCCCCAGTTACGGCTTGCGCGGGGAATGGGGAATGGGAAGATGCCATGTTTGGGAAGAGGTAACAGGAAGTGCTCCAAAGAAACCCCAGACATATACCAAACAAAGCTTCTCTCAGTGGCTCGAAGGACCCGGAACTAAAAGCCGATCACCTTTTGTGGCCATGACTACATATGGACCAACATTCATGGAAAAAGCCAAAGGTCAAAAGGTCGATTCGCTTTGAACAACTGAGTTATGGGATCAACCATGGTTTCATTTCGTCGCCTTTCCCCATCCACTGGCTGGGCCGAGGCCGCGGCCGCGTCCACTTCTCCTTGTTTCGCCGGCAAGAAAGGCGAAAGCGCGAGGGCTCTGGGCGTTGGGCGTTCGCGCGGGCACGCGAGCCCCCGGGCGGAAAGTAGATGAAGTCCATTTCTGCCAAGGGGATGAGACCAAGTGTTCCATAGGTGGTCTGGACATGTGACAATTTGTGTCCTTTTGGGGGAGCTGCAAACGCCCCGAAAACCAGATCCGATCGATTGCCCCGAAAACCAGATCCGATCGATTCGCTTTGGGCTCGCGAGAGAAGGCACCGGCCAATGCGGGGCTGGCCTTTGGACGCCTTGATATGGAACCCAAAAAGAGAGAGGGTCCATTTCCCAAAGTTCCCTCAAATCGTGGTTCCTTGATCTGGGCTTGTCTTGAAACACCCCTCCCCCAAACAGGAGAAATGTTGTTTTCTTCTGGTGTCCCTCTAACTTAAAGAACCACACCAAGGGTATCCTCAAACAAGAACAGCACACCCGGGCACTGGAGAGAGCAGATTCGCTCCGAACCCAGGATGCCACTGCAACAAGGGAAGCCACGATCTCTGGGGCTTGACTCCTTGTCCATTCTGTTCAACCATCAGTCTTTTCAATAACCAACTGTTTCCCTTGGGTTTTTGATGGTTTCCTGAAATGAAGGATCCTGGAAAGCCTAAGGGATAAACTCAATTGTACTTGGCCGCCTGCACGACAAAGCTTCGACGGCTTCCCGTGACAGCGCGGACTTGCCGAAAATGTTGAGAATGCAGGGACATCTTCCAAATCTGTTTGGGCTTGCCGCAATAGGAAAATTCAAACTTGACCTTTTGGCTTCCCCATTAAAAAAAAAAAAAAAAAACATCCAAAAGGGGGCTTCCCTAAAACCCGCTACCACGTCCCTAACCAGAACTCCTGGTAGCTCCTGAGCTCCCTTCTTAAAAGCACATTTGGATGCCCCCGGCTCCGAAACCGCTCCCTTCCAACCACCAGCCTGACTATTCACGCCCTTTTCTCAGCTGTTCAGTGCCCCTGGAGGAAAAAAAGGAATCCTTTTTGGGGGGAGGTGTCCATTTTTCGTGGGGCAGCCACCCAAAAAACAAAAAGAAAGAGTGCCACTGAACAACACAAAAAAAGGTGCCACCCGAAAAAAAAAAAAAAAAAAAAGGAAGAAAAAACACATTGAACAACTCAACAAAAAGTGCCACTGAACTGAGTTTTTTTTGCGCCCACGAAGACCATCCCTTTCCATCTTTGGCTTCTTCGGCCCCCCGCTTTGGGCAGACTCCACGGCCGCGGCCGCCTGAGGCTCAGCTGAAACTCGGCGCCCTTCTAGGCTGGAGAAATCGGACCCCGGCAAAAGAATATCTTCTTTGCCTGGGTAGTGGAAAACAGAAAAAAACAAGAAGCAAACACGGAAAAAGGGGAACTAGTTCTGGGGAAGAGTTTTGAGGTCGGTTCAAAGGGAACATGCTGCGACATTTGACGGTGCGACATTTGACGCACCCTCTTGGGGTCGGTTTAAGGAAACATGGGGGGGGGAGCTTCTTGGCGCGGGTTTAAAGGGGAAAGCACCAAGAATGCGGGGGCGGGGGGGGATCCTTATGTGCCCATATGTCCAGTGGTTGAAAAATGGAGGTCCTCATGTCCCCAGGAAAAGAAACATTTTATGTCTACTAACAAGCTCCCTTTAAAGCCGACAGGGCTCCAGCAAATGGAAGTTCTGCAGGGATGCCTTTTCAAGGCGCAACCCCCACAAACTGACCACGGACATGTCATCCCCCGAGCGAAACGCGCGGCCACGTCCCCGCCTCCTGCCGCGCTAGGACCTCGGCTGGGTAAAAAAAAAACAACCAAAAAAAAACGCGTGCCCAAAGGCCGCATCAAATGAGGGAATGAACCCAGGGGGTCCCTTAAAGGAAACCACAAGGGATGGTTTATAAGGGTCATTTATTTTTATGTCCTGCTGGGCACCGGCAAGTTTTGGAACCCACCAAACAAGGACCACACAGCTACATATAGTGACACGCCAACCCCTTATCATTGTGCTTAAAGGAATTGGGGCAAGATGTGCACGATGAGCTTAGCATCGCCTGTGAGGCTATAGACTTTATCACCTCACCCCGGCTGAAAATCACATACCACCCTCCCTCCCCCCCCCAAAGAAAAAAACAGATCTGCGCGTCCAGTGGATGGGCAATGCCACAGGTGGCAGGTGGTTGCTCGCATGAGTCACAACCAAAACCTGGCACCAAAATGGTCTACCCAAACCATGAAAAGAATTGAGAAGGCGGAATTCTGCATCCATTTCTGGCAAGGGGCTGATCCTCTACTAACCTTCATCTACCAGGGCTTGAGGACGTGGGCTCACATTCTTCTCAACATGTCATCCATGCGGGCTTTCCCTCCTTTTGGCGAAACAACAAACCGCTCCAGAGAGTACGACGGCAACCAGCGTCGGTCGATTTATTTTCACCGCACTGCCTCAAGTGGGTGGGATCGTACCTGTTGGTCGATCTGTTTCAATCTCTGGAGTCGGTGTGCGTGTCTCTCAGACACCACTGACTCGAAAGTAAAGTACAACAAAATAAAAGGTAAGCAAATGCAAGTGCATGCAAACCCAAAATGTTGTACAGCAGAGTTTCGAAGAGGGAGTGGACGTTCTCCCGTCCTCTCACTCGATGATATAAATGCAGACCGACAGGTACTGAGGGCATGCAGTGAAAACTGGTGAGGGTGGGTGGGAAAGAAAAATTTGGCTAATTCGCCAAAATGGCGAACGGAGCATGAATCAAGCAGTGTCATCCTGCAGGCACTCAAGGTTCGAATCTGAGTGTGATTCAAATGCCTTCCGCTATCGGTTGTTACTTTTAACACACGTGTTAACCGCAACAACAAACCGCTCCAGAGAGTACGACGGCAACCAGCGTCGGTCGATTTATTTTCACCGCACTGCCTCAAGTGGGTGGGATCGTACCTGTTGGTCGATCTGTTTCAATCTCTGGAGTCGGTGTGCGTGTCTCTCAGACACCACTGACTCGAAAGTAAAGTACAACAAATAAAAGGTAAGCAAATGCAAGTGCATGCAAACCCAAAATGTTGTACAGCAGAGTTTCGAAGAGGGAGTGGACGTTCTCCCGTCGTAGGTCAACTCCCGTCGAAGGTGAAGCCGAAGGCGAACGACCTAGACAAAAGGCACGTTGAGGGCATCCTTACATCGATCAAGTCTCCTTACTGTGGACAAGATTCTCACGGGACGTGGAAGTCAAGTCGGGTTCAGGAGGAATGATTCCTGTGGAACTGTTGGAGTTCCTTTATGTCGTCAAATCCGACGGCATGGGCGAACTCAATATCGCCAATGATTTTGCACGTTCGTTTATGTAGAGCGTGCATGGGGGGTTCCAGAATCTGCCAGTGGTGCTTCGAGGCGAGAGACATGTCATGTCGACTGAAGGGGTCGGCTATATTAGCATGTGTGGGCACACGGGCAATATGCAACTGCAATTGCTGTCGGTTGTGCCATGTCCAATGTGCACCGAGCAGGCCGTTTAGTGGTTGGTGTTTCCCAACTCCCCGTCTGATGGCGTGTTTGGCCGCTTCGTTGTCGCACAACTGGAGGTATGTGTCAGTGATCCATGGTCGAAAGATCACAGGAGCGATCAACGCGGCCCATGTCTCGAGGAAATAAATGGCGTTGGTGCCAGTACTCACTTGTTGGAGTAAGTTAGGGGGTAGTGCGCCCGAGACCACGCGGGTCCTTTGTGCCTGTGGGCTGAACAGCACCGCTGCCCATCCGTTGTCGTGCGACCAATCGGGTGGCAGACAATCCCGATCCCCTGCGTCCTTGACACGCCAGACCGTCTCGCCCTGCCGGCAGAACGCGTCGGTGTATATGATTGAGAGGTCTCTGGGCCTGGTGGACAGTGGGACGCTGCGGGGTGAGCTATGTTGCAGGATATTCAGGAGGCACAGAATGGCAGCTCGAGTTGGTTTGTCGATCCGGTCGGAAGTGCTGTGTGCTTTGTGGTATAGGGCGGCTAACGCCGATCGCCCTACTCGACCGAACAGGTGTCCGGTGACAAAGTTGCACTTGCCGGCAGTGCGTCGGGCGGTGT